CGAAATTGGGAAGTTGAAAATTGGAAAATGAGAAAATTGGGAAATTGGGAAATTAGGAAATTGAGAAATTGGGTAATTGAGAATTTGGAAATTTGGGAATTTGGGAATTTGGGAATTTGGGAAATTAGGAAATTAGGAAATTGAGAAATTGGGTAATTGTGAATTTGGAAATTTGGGAATTTGGGAATTTGGGAATTTGGGAATTTAGGAAATTGAGAAATTGGGTAATTGTGAATTTGGAAATTTGGGAATTTGGGAATTTGGGAATTTGGGAATTAGGGAAATTGGAAAATTAGGAAAATAGGAAATTGATTAATTGGGAAATTGGGAATTTAGGAATTTGGGAAATTGGGAAATTGGGAAATTGGGAAATTGGGAAATTGGGAAATTGGGAAATTGGGAAATTGGGAAATTGGGAAATTGGGAAATTGGGAAATTGGGAAATTGGGAAATTGAGTAATTAAAAATTAGGAAAATGGGAAATTGTGAAATTGGGGAATTGGGAAATTGGAAATTTGGAAATTTGAAAAATTAGGAAAATGGGAAATTGGGAAATTGGGAAATTGAGAAATTGAGAAATTGGGAAATTGGGAAATTGGGAAATTGGGAAATTGGGAAATTGGGAAATTGGGAAATTGAGAAATTGAGAAATTGAGAAATTGAGAAATTGAGAAATTGAGAAATTGAGAAATTGAGAAATTGAGAAATTGAGAAATTGAGAAGTTAGAAAATTTAGAAATTAGGGAATTATGAAATTAGAAGATTAGAAAATTAGAAAATTAGAAAATCAAAAAGTCATAGAATTAAAAAATCATAAAACCAGAAATTTGAAAATTTTTATTTCTAAATCCCTCAAAACAGTACCCTAATATAACTAACAATAAGGGTAACATCCAGAATGTGAAGGGTATCTCAACCACATAAAGAAACACCACATAGCGTAACTGCACAATTTATTCAAAAGTCAACTACTAAATAGTAAAACTACTTAATCATTTCACGAATGTACCTAATACAATATAACTGACAATCTTACATAATCTTACATAAACACGATTTAATGATTATTTCATAAATATTCACAAATATACTAAATCTAAAACACCGAAATAACATTGTATAATTCTACAGGTATGTATATTATACGTATATAACAACTAACTATACTTAGGTAACTACATAGGGAAGTCGACAATACAGCAAAGAGTACAAAAGGGAGAGAGAGAACAACGACACAGTGATATTTTATGTAATGTACGTATAGAAACAGGCACAGATAGTGACACTGCAGACATCGAGCTCGTACGCGAACATATCTTTGGTAACACAGAAACAATACATTACTCGACGACAGTCGTGTTGTATATATATATAAAGAAAGACAGAGAAACAGTATATATATATAGAGATAGATGTAGACAAAAGTCGTCGATAGGGTAGGCATATGTATTTTCACTACGTTCAGCAGTAAATCAAGCAAAACAATCAACGCGACTGGTAGCGACAATCGGTTGTTTACAAGAGGATAAGGTAAAAGAACACCGCAGCTTCACGTATATAATTATATATAGTATGTATGGGCTGTGAACATGAAGTACAGGGCCGCATTTGTGACTTACGGTGCCTTAGGCGCGACCGCCATTTTGGGGACTCAACGTCATTTTCTTTTCAGTGCATACGTATTTTTAAGGTTATGAAAATATAATCTGTTATTTCTGTAATAATTTTCAATTTGATAAATGTGAAATATCATTAATTTATATAATTAAATAATTTTAAAAAAATGTGAAAATAAATTCAAACTTAAGGAAAATTAGTAAATAAAAGTTTTTTTTCTAGATTTGGTTTCAATGGATACATGTATTTTATATACCAAATTCAATATATATGTACAGTATTTTAGTAAATTATAAGTAAGTAATCTGTTATGTTCCATTTAATAAATTATAGCAAGATGCTATTTTTTTCATCTTATTGCAAGTTGTTCATGAATTTATATCCATTACTGACAAACTAATTATGCAAACATAGTCAAAAATATTTTTGAAACTGTTTTATTAAAAAATATTTTAAAAAGTAGATTTTAATCCATTATTTACAAATTTTTCTTTTTGTATTGTACAATTTTTTGTGTGTAGGCAAAAGTAGTTGTCTTGATGTTTTTATTCAGAATAAATTTTAAACAAATCTGTGTCTAAGACATATTTTTCAACAGTTTCTAATTTTAGTGTCATGAATTTAATATTTAAAAATGAATACAGTATTTATTACTACTAGAGGGAGTTGCGCCTAAAACACCTTATGGTAAATACGGCCCTGACGTAGAAACAGATTTCGCAAAACGGCACTGCAGCTACGCAAAAAAAAATAAAGATAAATATATTAAACGTCCATCGAGCTTCACGGACAACACCGTGATGTAAACAGTTTATTTAACACTGGAACAACCGAAGAATTCTAAAAATTTTCTATAATCACAGTAAATATGTATTTATTTATTCTCAATTTAAACAGCAAGACACTGGTTGTTCTAGTGTTATGACCGATCAATCTATCCCATAGTTTAAACATTTAACACGTTCGTTTTGACTCGATATCGCGTGAATGATCCAATTGCAAATATCCACTCACGCAATATCGCGTGGACCCACCTACGGATTCATACATCGCGTGGAGGACCAATCTCCAAATGTCCATTCACGCGATATAGCGTAGATGATCCAACTAGGAATGTCCAATCACGATATTGCGTGAATGACTAGTACCAAAGTCCGTTCACGCAATATCGCGGGGTGAATCTACAGTGTACAAACATAAGGGCACACGGTGACTACTCACTCTTTAATCTTGCTAACGAACGTGTCAAAAATTGATTACTTGTAACCTCTTCAGATACAACTTTTGTTATAACTAGAAATACAAATGTAATTATACATTTTGCTTATTTGCAATTAGTAGCAATTAAATAATAATAATTGCAAAGGTATTAAGTAATGTGGAAGAAAAAAGAATCTCCACATGTATGGCTGTTTGTAAATTTGATATCTATATGGACAGTTTTAAATTTGGTGGACATATATAGTTATTGTTGAATTTAACATTCACGTATGTGGTCATTATTGAATTTGATGTGCACATATGTGGACATTGTTGAATTTGATGTACACATATGTGGGTATTGTTAAATTTAACGACCACATATGTGGTCTCTGTTGAATATCACATTCACACATATGAGAATTGTGAAATTTCACATCCACATATGTGGTGATTGTTGCGTATAACGTCCACACATATGAGAATTGTGAAATTTCACATACACATACGTGGTGATTGTTGCATATAACGTCCACACATATGAGGATTGTTGAACTTAATATTCACATATGTGGTGATTGTTGAATACAACATCCACACATATGAGGATTATTGAACTTGACATCCACATATGTGGTGATTGTTGAATATAACGTCCACACATATGAAGATTGTTGAACTTGACATCCACATATGTGGTGATTGTTGAATACAACATCCACACATATGAGGATTGTTGAACTTAACATCCACACATATGATCACCATTGTATTTAACGTTAACATACATCATGATTGCTGAATTGAATGTCCACATGTATAGTCATTGTTACATTTAACAACTACATGTATGATTATTGTAAAACCTCACTACATCATACATAGTCATTGCTAAGTTCAACATCCACATATATGATAATTATTAAACTCAACCACCTCACATATAGCACTTTTTTAATCCAACTTCCACATATATTCCTATTGTTAAGTTTAAGTCCCACATACATGATCACTCTGTTAAATTAATCCACACATGTGGTCATCATGAACTTATCCATCCACATATATGGTCACTATGGAATTCAATATCCACATACATGATCCTTAAATTCAATATCCACATATATGCTCATCGTTAAATTCAATATCCACATACAGCCATTATTAAAAGAGGAAAATTAAACATACTCGTATGTTTCAGTATCCTTGAAGAGGTTGGGATATAATAAATATCCTTTATTTTATCATTCGAAATATTTATTATTAACAATACCGTTTATGGAGAAACATTAATCGGTGCTGAAGTATTAATTGGTGAAATAAACTTGTAACGCACTGAACAACGATGCTTGTACGTTCGAGGTGTTGCTATAGTGATCTGCAAAGTAGAACAACCTGTGGTATCGATGTTAATAAAGTCGTCTTCTTGGAACTCGTCTTACTAGGAACGCGTAATGACCGACCGTTTTACGTAGGTTCGTATTTTTTCACCGGGAAAATCTATACCGATGGCTGATCGAGATTTTCTTTTTCTTTATCGGTGTAACACTATCAATGGTCGCGTTTTCTTGGTATTGTACGTACTTGTGGAGACGCGTTTAAAGGACATGTTGGTTATGTGGGAGATTGAGTGGATGCTGAAAAAATTGTGTAACGTTTAATCGACGGCCATATTCATTTACATTTGATATTTACATTTGTACACATTTGATAATTTAATCTATAAAATTTCGAGTTTTTGGGTTTTGAGAGTTATTTTAAATCTTTGGGACTTTGGCGGTTCTTGACATTTTTTAATTTTGGAACTTTGCCATTTTAGAATTTAGACATTGAGATTTAAGAATTTTGTAACTTAGAATTTGAGACTTTAGAATGATTTAAAATTTGCTAATTCTGTGTAACAACAAATTAAAATAGTCCTCTGACCTAACTGACCTAACTACCACGAGTACAAAACTCAATCTAACACTGCTAAATCACTCTAACACTGCTTCTACAAAACCTCCTCAGAATGTATTATCAAATGCAGAAGAAATTGTCCCATCGATTAAACGACATAAAACGAAAAGAACTAAAGAATTTCGTAAAACTGAAAGAGAAGATTACAAATCGATTTACCAGCAGCGATTTCGTATCGATTTTGAGCATTTTAATCGAAAAGATGTGTTAGATGATGTTCCTACCTCGCCTTCCGCTCTTTTCTTCTCGAGCTCCTTCTGCTTGGCATGTTCCTCGGCGATGCGAGCCTCGATCGCTGCCAGGGACTCCCGCGTGAACGGACGGAACAAACTTCTTTCTTCCTCTGATACAGAGTCAGAATCTTCGGACATTGTCTAAGCTGCACACAGCTGAGCCACCTTCCTAAACATTCGAAACATTTTTTATTAATTTTCTGCTATATATCGAATTTTAAGACCTTTCAATTCGAAATAGTTAAGGCTAGGTCGCCATCTTGCAGCACGACCGCGAAATTCAAACTGTGGAGCATGGTATTCGTTAATTAAAAGATATACTAAGTGATAAACCTTAATAATTGAAGAACTGAGGACAGTATGTCTTATAATAAAGTAACTGCGCATATGACGTATATACACATCATGTCAAATAAAGATTATTATTTACTATACACACTTTTGTTGTAAAATTTGTAGCAGGAGTATTTACCCACAATTATTACTTGATTTTTGTTATATATTCTGTGATGGATTTTACAAACTAAATTCTGCAATTAATTGTTTAATAATATTAGTAATATGTCCAGTAGTAAAGTGTTAAATAATAGTAACATGTTTAATAATAAAATGTTAAATAATAGTAACATGTCCAGTAATAAAGTTATAAATAATATGTCCAGTAATAAAGTATTAAACAACAATATAATACTAAGTTTAATTTAATAATAATAGTTTACATTAGAAATAAAATTTCCAATAATAAACTGATAAATAAGAGTAATATATCCAATATGTAATTTATAAAATTTGAGACCCCTTGCCATAAATAAATAAAAATGTAAAAAATTCAAAAGTAATACATCCAGTAATAAAGTATTAAGTAATAGTAAAATATCCAATAATAAATCATTTATAAATTTGAGACCCCCCGTTAAAAATAAATAAAAGTCAACAAAATTCTAAAGTGACTCCATCAAAAAAATTGAATAACACAATGTATAAAGTGAATAAAGATGACAAAAATGGCCGAAATATCCACGTGGCCATTTTGTTGGAGTAAATGGATATCCGTGAAACCGAGGTTACACTTGGGACCGAGGAAATTGTAGGCTGAACGTATTTCTGTAATGGACCGATACATTTCGAGAACCTTTTTACCGAGTCTGTCCTATAACAGTGGGTGATAAACTTCACGATACTACGATACCATAGAATTTCCTGTTAGCTCACTTGAAACATTGAAAACTGAGGGAGAACTTCTATTAAACTGTCCTGTCCCTAACCTCAAATAAAGAACCTTGACACCGTGAACTTGTTATTGTTTTTCAAACTGAAAATTTGAGTCCAACTTGTTCGAACGAGTCGATTAAAAATTCGAACAGAGAAATTAGGTCGATTGAAAAAGTGAAGTTCGGACTGAAATTCGAGTCGATTAAGAATGTAAACTTTTTGAGAACGGGAAAATTAGGTCGATTACAAACGTGAACTTCAAACTGAATATTTAAGTTGTTGAAAAAGATGAACTTTGAAAAAACTGGATTATCGCATTAATTAGAGAGGCGAATGTTAATTGTTTCCGATTTTGTCAGTCTCTAGGAGACATTTTTTGGAGAACATCCAACGGGAACTTAATTGTATTCAAATGAAATGCACCAGTGTCGAATGAATTCCTTAATTACTGAACCTTGTGCCATTGATAAATTATAGACAATAAGAGAACAAAGCTTCTTTTTATGAATTGGTGCAACGAGATAAGCAGATATGTCCTTCAAATGGTAATTCAATTTGATGAACACCTTTGTTGAAGAAAAGATTGATGCACGTGTATGAAACAATGGGTCATTTTGATCCATTATTATAGGCATGTGTTGCTGAGAAATCATAAGACATCTTAACATTTTTTTATATAAATTATTTAAGTTATTCAGATACATGACATTTATACAAACATTCATGTTAAACTCAAAATTTATATTAAATTCAAAATAATAAATTAGCTGTTTCATACAACCTTGTTTCAATAAAGCAACTTAATTGTTGCAACAAAAATTTAAATTTTAAATTAAAAGGTGTACTTGAGGTTTACGAAAATGTAAATTTTTAATAAATTATTCAAGAATTTAAAAAATTTCTATCTGAAGCATAAAAAATTATTTGAACAAAAAAAAAAATGGCGACGAACAATATCTTCTCGCAGAACACCTTAAAAATTTGCCTTCGTCTCGATTTAAGTGTTCATTAATTCATACGGCACCTAAGGTCGGCTCTGAATGAATAAAAGCTTCTATAAATAGCCAATCTAATATCTAGTTTCTGGTGACATACGTGAGTGGAAATAGAAATGTATTAATTATGTATGGGATTTATCGAACAGACAACCGTCAAGTTAATACAACACCTATAGGAGAACTCTGATCGAACATCATGGAGAACATTACGAATCTATTTATCGGAAAACAATTTCGTTGTAACTGTAGGTTAAGAGTACTAGCTCCTTGTATCGCTATTTAGTCCTTCACACATGCAGATATAATCAAGATCTTGTAGGAGATATACGGTCTCTAGTATATAAGATAAACTTCGTCGTTATTATAGAGTGGCAGGAAAGAGGGTGTAGCTTAGAGATTTACACAATTATCAATTTTTAAATTAACAAGTTTTCAAATTTGCGAGTTTTTAAGTTCCCAGAAGATGATAAAAAGATTTTCAAGTTTGCAAACTTTAGAATAGTGAAACTTTCAAATTTTTCAGTTTCCGAATTCCTAATTTACAATTTTTTAGTTGTATAAAATATCTCCAAGATATTAGATAGAAATCTATAGTTATGACATATGAGAGCAACAAACAATTTTACAACAAATTTTACCGAATTAGATACACAGGTATTTATTTAGTATGTCATATGAGGACGCCATGACAGTGTTACCCCCTTGCCTTACAATATCTCCCACACATGACATACTCATGCTGCACCAGTGACAAATCTTATTCAAACTTTTCATACGCTTCAATTTGAAGTCCAAGTCCAATACAAAATTTTCATAACATTTCAACATTCTTTCTCTGTTTCAATATTGTCAGTCAGTTCTGACATACCTGACAAATCACAAAGCAAGGCAATGGCGTATAGGAACTGCAGCACCCCCGACTAGTAATTTTCTTTTAGGATGTTATCAAGTTTCTGAATAAAGTTTGCCTACTTTTACACAATTTTAAAGAAGTTAACAATTTTCTGGAGCCCCCATTTTTAGCTACGAGCCGCTGTCAAATGAGTAAAAATTTCTTTATAAATTCCTTGCATGTAAATGAAGTTACAGATGTCAACCCACGAGTTGGCGCGTGAAAGAAGCTCTCCACCATGAATTCCAGTTAATAATGACAACTGACCAATTGGTAGCTCATTTAACACTAAAACCAAACCGGCCAAATGACCGTTCCATAAAATTCTTATTATAAATGACATTTGTTGAATTGATATATAATGTATAATACCTATTCATAGGAATAATGCTTAAACAAATAATAAAAATGACAATGTTACGCATATTTTATATTCAGCGATCTTTGATAATGCAAATTATAGTTGGACCTAAATTTCAAGTTGAAAAGTATTCAAAATTTGAGTAAGATTGGTTATATTTGAGCTATGAGTGCGTCACAAGTGAAACTCGTCAAAGTACAACAAAAGGTTAACCCCTCGTATGATTAATTTGTCAGGTGCGTCAGTCAGAAGTAACTATTAATAATATCAAAATCAATCAAGAAAACTAAAATATTGTAACTATCCTGTATTCAGCAGTCTTTGACTACACAAGTTATAATTGTACTTAAACTTCAAATTGAAAAGTATTTAATAGTCAAGTAAGAGTCACATTTGAACCGTAAGTGTGTCACGAGACTGACTCGTCAAAGTACTGCAAGGGGTTAACTTGTTAAACACGTCTCGTTGAGATCGGTAGTAGATAGACTTACTTTTGATCGGTGCTAACAGTTCCTGAAGTGTAATGTGCGCGTGTCCCACGATGCGGGGGTGTAATAGAGTGGCTGCTGGGGTGGCTGCGGCTGTGGCTGACGAGGACGAGACCGATGCTGAAGAACGCGCGATTTGCCGGCTAGGGGCCGGTACCTGGGCGTCGATTCGGAACGCGTCGTGCCGCCGATGCGATTCGACGACGCCGTTACGTACGATCGGACGGATAAATGCGCTTCGTGCAGCACGTCGACTGCCGATCTACCGACGCTCTTCTTTTCCCTCTTCTTGTCGATCGCCGTGACGCAAATGCCTCTGTCGATACTTTCCTTACCGATACCGCTATCGCTATATCTAATACTCTTTCTTCCGTCTCTCTCGCTAACGTTGCTATTGCTGCTATCGTTACTGCCGTTGCTGCTGCGGCTGTTGCTTTTGCTATTTGAATCTCGTTCCGACGAAATGGCGACGAGAAATGACGAACGCGCTGCGGCAGTGCGTGCTATGTCGGGGACCGTCCAACGCGAACCAAGATTTTTCATGTCCGACCTGTCGTCCATCGCCAAAATTATCATTTAAATACATGCAAACTTTCATTTTGTTACTACATTTTTTTTAATTTACTGTTACTTCTGTTTGAGATACTTAGCCTAACCTGATTTATTCGAGCCTTTGTTATTCGAATTTGCTTCAAATTTCAGAACTTTATTTTATTTAGAATAAATTTGAACGAGAATAACTAAGTTTGGATGAATTTACTCTTGCTTCTGTTTAAGATACTTAACCTAACCTGATTTGTTATTCGAATTTGCTTCAAATTTCAAAACCTTATTTAATTTAGAATAAATTTGAACGAGAATAACTAAGTTTGGATGAATTTACTGTTACTTTTGTTTAAGATACTTAACCCAACCTGAGTTGTTATTAAAATTTGCTTCGAATTTCAGAACTTTATGTAATTTAAAATAAATTTGAACGGGAACAACTAAATTTGGATGATAGGCTAATTATAGGTTTGGATTATCGGTTAGATTAGATTTGTTCAGTTAGCCATTAAGTTTGTAGATTGTTAGTTAAATTAAGGTAATTTGGGTAATTGGGAACCTATTAGGTTAGGGTTGTAAGGCTATATTCAATTGAATTAGTATTAGGTCGAAGTTGAGGTTAAGCAAGGGATAAATTAGGTTTGGTTAGAATTTAGTTAAGAGTAGATTAGGTTAAAGTAAGATTACGTGAAGATTAAAATAGTGTAGAATAAACATAGAGTTGTCTAAAGTTAGGTTACTTCAAGTAAAGTAAAAGCTAAGATTAGGTTAGGTTATGCTTTGATAAGACTAAATCAAAATTAGACTAAAATCTGATAAAATTTTGGTTAGAATAAGTTTAAGATTAAATAAGGTTAGGTTAAAATAATGATAAAGTTAGTTATTGTCTTAGGTTTAAGCATTACTTCAGAATAAAAATAAGTGAGGTTATGTTTGGTTTCATAATTTTATTCCACTATGGTTGAAACTTGAAATATTTAATCTAACTTCAAACAGAAGTAACTGAATTCCAAATAATAAAATTATTTCGTTTCAATCTGTGTTCAGTACAAGAATATTAAATTCTATACTTACGTGTGAATGAAGCGACGGGTGCGATCAATCCGTTATTCGAAATAACATAGTCTGATCTTCGAGTCGATCGATACTTATCTACAACAGAAAACGAAAGAAACCTACATCAGTGGGAGGAAAATACACTCGATCATTAAAAACAGATCAAAATTTCATGTATCCTATGACCTACATACATGTTCCTATCAAAGATACAGTGTATGCAGAAAGTATTCGCGAAATCAGCTTTGAATATTTCATAAAATTCCGATGCATTTCCTAATTTTCATCCAAACAATTTTTAATGATATTCTTGTTTACATAGCTGCTATTGCGGACAAAACAATCTTTATTTTTAAAAGTTTAAATGCAAACGTGGCATTTTATATTATTTTATTTTATTTTATTTTATTTTATTTCATATTTTTTATGCTATTTTATATTTTTGTACTTATGCACTATTTTATTATAAGTTTAAATTTGATATTTCATTTTGGTTATAGAAAAGTAAATTTATTGACAGTAAAGTTTTATATGAGATATAAAAATGTTAGCGTAAAGTATTAAATCGAGCAATGCAACATGAAATATTTTTATTCTAAACAATTTGAAAATATAAATCGATTAGAACAAGGTTCAATAGAGAATAGCATTGTGACAATACAACAGTACAGAACTATAACATATTACAATGCAAAAGTTTAACAGATATAAAAATAAAATAATAAAACTGCAAAAGTATGCATTGCAAAATTGTGAAAATGTAATGTAAAACCGCAGCAACAGTGCTGCAAAATATATCCTGGCATGAATATTAATATCAAGCACGAAATTGACACAGGAATACATTAAATACGAAGATAACGTCAAAAATACGTTAAATCCAAAATAAAGTCAAAAGTACATTAAACTTGAACTCAAAAATAAATTAAAAACAGAGTTAAACTGGAAAATAAATTGAACACAAAAACGAGCTTAAAAAGATATTAAATGTAGAACTGAGCTTAAAAATAAATTAATAAACTGTGGTAAAAAACCCGGTAAATACAACAATGAGCTTAAAGATACATTAAATGCATAACTGAGCTTCAAAATTTAATTTATTTTTAAGCACAAAACTGAACTAAAAAAGCTGAATACAAAAATGAGGTTCAAAATATTATACATTAAATATAGAAGTGAACTTAAAAATAAATTAAGCACAAAACTAAATTGTGCACGGAACTAAAAACTCCGTTAAATACAAAAATGAGCGTAAAAATGCATTAAATATAAAATTGAGCTTGAACATAAATTAAGCACAAAACAATGAAAAACTCCGCTAAATACAAAAATGAGGTTCAAAGTACATTAAATGTAGAACTGAGCTTGAAAATAAATTAAGCTAAAAATGATCTAAAAAATACACTAAATACAAAAACGAAGGCAGAAATAGAAAACTGAAACGTGAGATAGAAAACTGAAACGGTAAGAGTGAAACAATAATATTATAACCAATAAAGAAAGTTTAAACCAGCAAGAATGTGCAGGGAAATATAAAACCGTATCGGTAGAGAAGAGCGTAAAAGTGTAACGATAAATAACATGAGCCCCGCATGCCGTTGAAGGGCCCTTGATAATCGTCCGTGTGCAAAAGTATTTCAGGCGTAACATCTTTCGGCAAGTAGTTTAACCACTCGAGTTTTTTCGTCGGTGAAAGAGCTCGGCGTGTTCACGCATATTCACGACAACAAAAATTTACACAGAGCATGCGATATAGAGAGTCGGCTCGAAGAAGGGTGTCGGTGGTCTTTGACCGAGTTTCGCGCGGTCGATCATATTCCGCCGGAACTCGGTCACGCGCTTATGCATCGGTGTCGTCGTCGCGGCGCCAACGCCGAGGAACCGACGTCGACGTCGGCCACCTCGAAGCCAAGTAGGAAAAGTAAGAGTGAACGCTTGATTGCCAGTAGAACGACTATACGCAGAATCAGACACACGAGCCAAATGGTCAGCCGAGAACAAAGATGGCCGAAACAGTGCCGACCCTACCACTCCATGCACCCCTTATTACCATCATTCTTTCTCCTGGGTCACCTCAGGGGACTACCTTATGTTTGGGAGTTTTCACTTGAAACTTTGAGGATAGGTTCGAATTTTGCTCTATAGATTCTGACCGCGAATCGATAGAAAACCGTGTTTAGCTTTTGATCATTTTTGACACGTAGAATTAGACTGAAGGCATGTTTGAACTTAACTTATCATTCTTTTTCCGGGTTTGGGTCAACTCAGGACTACCTCAGGTTTGGAGCTTTTCACTTGAAATTTTGAGGGTAGATCTTAATTTTGCTGTATAGATTCTGACGGCGAATCGATATAAAACCGTGTTTAGCTTTTGATCATTTTTGACACGTAGAATAGACTGAAGGCACATTTGAACTTAACTCATTATTCTTTCTCCTGGTTTGGGTCACACCTCAGGACTACCTCAGTTTTGGGACTTTTCTTTTGAAATTTTGAGGGTAGGTCCTAACTTTGCTGTATAGATTCTGATGGCGATCCAACGACAGAAAACCGTATTTTACTAGCTTTCGATCATTTTTGACACGTAGAATAGACTAAAGGCACATTTGAATTTAACTCATCTGATACTTGGTCATCATTGACTTCGGTTGTTGTGAAATCAACGATAATGTACATATGGTGTTTTCGACGTTTGATCGTTTGATGTCTCTCTATAGTTTGATCTATAGTTTGTGGTAGTATAAATCTACCTATAGGTACTCGAAATTTTGAATACACACTCGAAGTCGCTCTGTGAACTAGTTTTATTGTCAACACTTATGAAAGCGTGTGAATAATTTCTATAATTTAAGGTGAAGAATGTAAGCCACTTTAACTCGGTAAATCTAATGCTCGTGTGCGCAGAGTTTGAATAACTAGTCCGATAAATGATCGATTCTTCTAAATGGGCTTATTGTTCTTTCGTACGAGAATATCAACAGTTTGCATTGATGGTCTTTGTTTTTGAGTGACTGCTACTTTCTTGTGCGGTGTTTAATCGATGTTTGTTATATAAACATTGTTTATGTCGTTTGTTAATTTAAATAAATATAAATTAATTATGGGCTATAGAAAGAAAGTTTATGTCGTTCAAAATTTTATTATTATGAGAATTGAAGTATATTATAATTATAATTATATTATTATAATTATTGATTCTGTGTTGATATGATTGTGACTTAGACGGTTTCAGAATAAGCAAATTAAGGATTTAGAAATTTGCAGTTTTGTAATTTTGAAAATTTTGAAATTTGGGGTTTGAGAGTTTAGGGATTTTCAGATCTGAGGACTCGGAAACTTGGGATTCTAGAGATTTGGAAATTAAAAAATTTATAGTTATTGAAATTTGAAGATTTGGGAATTTAGAAATTTGGAATTTTGGAAATTTGGAGAGCTTCAAATTTGGGAACTCTGAAATGTAAGAAGGGACGTTGGAGATATGGGAAACTTGACGATTTGGGAATTTAAGGATTTGGAAATTTTAGAATATAGGAATTGAAAAATTTGAGAATTTGCGAACATAGAAATTTGAAGGTGGTAGAATTTTTGCATATAAAAATTTGAAAATTTGAAAATTCGTGCACATAAAAATTTGTAAATTTCAAAATTCAAGAACGCAGAAAATAAACGTAAAAATAACAATTTTCGAAGGTCATACAACATGAAAGGTTACTAATAACCTACAATTGACCATAGCACCACAAAATGAAAATTATCTTTAAAAACGAAGATAATCCACCTCTTCCAAATAATAAATCTCATTAGCAAAATAAACTAGAAACAACAAAAGACAAATTTGAACATAAAAACCTGACGAATCATAGTTTAAAACAAATCGTCTCATAAAAATACAGAAAAATGGCAGTAAACATCACAAAAACGTTACGCCACCGCTAAGCATAATGTTTGAAAGGAAATGTTCCTTGTAAACTTGTAAATTCAGATGATTTCAGGACGAGCCTATAAATCCGGATGTTTCAGAAGGAAAAAAAAGGAACGAGCGTTTAGTCTTTTTAACAGGGAATCTCTTGCAACGTCGAATGCTTTTGTTGATTCCTCGATGAAGGCTGATTTACCGTAGACATACCTGACCCCGTTTCTCTCTAGCCTGCGTGTTGGCAGAGTGCCTTTTTTATTGTAGTCGTATATCCGCAGGATAAAAGCTGCAATAGGCAATTAAATCGAGCTTCATCGCATTCCATATTCCCGAATTGCATATTTTTTTACCATAACCTTTCTCGTGGAGCGTCTACGGTCTCGTCTGATGAACGAACAAGTGTCTACGCAAGTAAAAAGTTGATGTGGGGTGTAGAACGATTGCAATCTACGCTTTCTCGTTGAAATTGCAATTAAGGTTAAGTGTAAAGTTAAAGTTAAGGTAAAATAAAGGTAAAGTTAAGGGTAAATGTTCGCTAATTGATGAAGTAGGGTTATGGTGGGTGTGTTTGTAAATAACCTGCAAATATCACTATTGGACTAAAAGTACCATTTATTAATTGGAATGTGAAACAACAAATTTATACAAAAGTATAAATTATTATGAGTTGTAAATTTTGATTAGTTAGAAAGCATTAATATTAATGTAATTTTATAGTAATTTCGTGTAATCGAATATAACTATGTTTATATGTAATTTTGGGATAGCCTAACTGAACTATAACATCACTGCAACCTAACCTAAACTTTATGTCATAGCTAAGTTAACCTAACCTAACTTTACTTCATAGTAAAGTCAAGGTTATGATTTCAAAATCAAAACTTGATCCTAAACTATAGCATTAGTAGAACCTAACTTGAACACAACTATAATATGATAACCTAACCATACCTTAATACAGAGTTAACTACAATTTAACTGAAGCCACTTGTCGTAACCAAAGACCAGTTTATCAATTAGGGTCTAACCAAATAGATCCATTTAGTTTAATCTAGCCTTAACTTAACATTAATTAAACTATAAGCTACATTTAACAATAACCTGACTACAATCTAACACTCAGATGACACTAACCTAACCTTAAACTTTTAATAATGAGAGTCAATCTATCAGTGCACAT